GGAGTGGGAACCCTACAAAGTTGTTGTTGAGAAGTTGCCGGTTATGTCCAATAAAACTGTTGAACTGAAAGTGGAACTATCTCCGTTGATTGGCTTGGAGCTGGGGGAGGCATCCCAAAGGAAGATATAGAAGCCAGTCCCATTCCCACCTCCCGGAAGACTCTTAGAATTCCCCAGGCAGAAATCTGGGGGTTCCACCCCACGGACAGACACCTACACAGATCGACACTGGACTCAACTGGAACTTGGGCCTACTTCCTGCACAAAAGGAAATTGCCCTCCTAGTGCCTGGGAGGCCTAGGTCTTTGTGGGAATTGTAGTCTCACTGCCCACTGAGCTCTATAGTGGGCACCTTCCAAAGAACAATGCCTCCCACCAAGATGTAGGCCTTCCAGGAAGCACAGAGGCAGTTTTCATTTTGTATAGGAAACAAAGCCTGAGACAGGCACAGAAGACAGGCACAATTCCATGTGAGTGAAATATAGGTGTTAGTGTGTGGGCTGGAACTCCCAGACTTCTGCTTGGTGGTGTCTGGAGAATTCTGGAACTTGGACTCCAAACAAAGCAAAGCAAAGCAAATTAAACAAATGACACATCCCTAGTGTATTTTCTCCCTTTGAACTTACAATGATGGCTTGATAGGAAAAATTCAGCCACCTCTCTTTGATCTGCAACAGGTGCATCACAAGAATTTCTAGGTGTAAAGGACCTTTAGATACTGTACAATTATTCTGTTACGGTCAATGAAAAATTCTGCACACTCCCCTTTGGGGTCCTTCTGTCTCTCTGTCCCTTGACACTGCATAAGAAGTGCATATGATGCACAGGGATAACAACAGCTGACCAAAAAAGCCAACCTATGGTCTTTTTAGGGGAAGAGCACAGAAGGACTTTTAGGGCTTTGGCATTACAGACCTACGAACAGGTTGTTTCTTGGAATAATCTGCAATTGTCATAAGCCACTAAAAGATTGTACAGGTGACATCTTAAATGAAACATTATCCTGCATGATGAACATATTTATTCTTACGATCAAAAAACTCTTTGCCAAAACTTAATTCTGAGCAATCTAATATTTTTTGAATATGCTATGCAATGCAGTCTGCAGCCAAACTGGGGCTTAACATCTGAAGCCAGCTTCTTGATCTCTTTTCAGTCTTTAAACCTAGGGTTCTTTATTTCAGAACCTGAAGACAATAACCACATGGTTCCTGCAGGTGCTGCCACAATGCAGACAGCACTCCAAGTTGCCTAGCATATTGTGAAAAAAAAAAGAGAGAGAAGTTCTTAAAACCTTTCAAATCTAAGTCTATTATGTACTTTTAAGCCAAGGGCCAAATTCAGATTGCTGCCTTAGTGAACCATGAATGTTTTTGTAGCTTAACAACACTGCAACCCTCGCACTTTATTTTGTAAGCCCTAACGAGACAAACCCGTATTCTGGCCAAGCACTCTACTAGAAATTTAATCCCATCTTGCTTAATTTCCCCTGCAATTTCACTTGGCAGTTCTGAAGGGTATCCCTGTGTGTGGTGCTGACTTTTTGTGAAAACAGCTTCCAGCCCATTTTGGTGGCTCTCGATAGATTGTATTCTGCCAAGGCCTTTGAGGCAGGGAGGCACAAGAGGAGGCTGTAAAAACCTGTTGTTAAAAGAACTGGTTAAGATGCAGTTAGAGAACTTCAAGTGACTTGCCCAGAGCAAGAAAAAGACTTATGGTGGGCACCACATCAGGAGAATATTCTCTTGATTCACCCTGTTAAATTTATCTTGGTGTTGGCAGGAAGCTTTCTGCTCTGACCTCAAAAATCTTTCTGGGATATTCAACTTGCTTACTTTTCTTCGACCTTAGCCACCAACACCTTCTATTCTGCTTTTTCCTTCTGTAACTCATTTGGCAGCCTAAAAGAACCAGATTTCAATTTTTAATAAATCAAAACCAAAATAAAAAGCACGATAAAATTTAATTATTTTTACAACCCTATTTTAATTTCAAGAGTGTCTGAGGCTGTGGCGATGATGTTTCACTTTTGCCAACACAGCTTATGTTTCCTTTTAAAAACAACAAAAAGCTGCAAGTGAGGCACAACAGTATTGCATCAAAGGTTAGGTTGACTTAATGTAGGGCAGTTGTAAAGAAATTTTGAATGCCTTGAAGTATCACAATTGAAGCAAGTTAAAATAATTTGACAAAAGTACTAGATTTTTTTAAAACTTAAATAACTAATGAAGCTGACTTTTCACAGTATAAAATGGGCCAGACATAGCAATAATTCTTGAGTGTTTGCTCCAATTTCAATATTTACTTGTGATTATACACATTCAAAATCAACAACATGATCCTTTGAAAGAAGGTTCTACTGGAATGTATCCTTAATTTAATTCTGGCAGCAACTCCTAAATTTCCAGAAGAAAAGCAACTGAATCTGTTCCATAAGTACAGATCGTGACCCTTTCACAAGACAGTTTTCACATGAAAGCTAACAAGGGAAGCTGCCAGATCATTTGCCAAATAAACATTTATGTGAACTGTAAGGCATGGAACATAAATTACCCTAATTCAAAGAAGATATTTTCTATTAACGTAAACCACGAAACTGCTCTTTGGTACTGATCTTCACTCAGTGACGGATCTTGAAGTTTGTTACTACTTTTGCAGTTCTGAACTCTGTGAAAAGACTTGGATGCAGTGGACCAACTCTGCCCAACTGAAACCGAAACCTAGTACACCAATTAGCAGGGTGGATATGATATACACAAGTAGCAGAGTGAAATCAGCAGGCACGATATTTTGCCTGCTTTCATTACACATTTATAATTCACCTTCTAAATATCTCTGTTGGTTTAGCCAGAGGAATTTAAGCAGGTTTAATTTCCACCAAAGGAAAAGGGCCTGAATGAGTTACCTTCTGAAGCTTTCACAACCCTCTTTTCATAGATGGAACCACAAGTAACTGACATTTTCCCCAACCCCATCGGATAGCTATTGAAGATATGCAGATAATTAAATTTGCTGAGTCCAAAAGTATCATATAACATCCGTGTTTTGAAAGAACTCTTTCCCATGGATCCAGAGAGCTTCCTCAAGGTGTCGTTCCATCCTGCTGAGAAGCATGGTTTGAGTCAAGCAAACAAATGTATGGATGGAGGTAAACACATCAGTCTTCTTGCCATCAAATACAGGCAGTAGCAGAACTAGACTGTCTGCTTACAAAGCAAAAACCATCATGGGTTGTCTACCATCTTGTTTTTTAAATGTTGGTCTTATAGGAAAGTGACGCCTCACATGAAGGAAAGTCAGGAGAGCTCTTCTGAACCTATCTTGAAACCTTGTTCTTCTCAAGACTTTCTTAGGCCTTGAGAAACTAAAAGAGAACACCCGTTCTGTTTTCCAAGGTTATAAATTAGCAACTATTTATATTCTAAAAGAGCAGCCAAGATCTAAATAGCATTTTAAAAATAAATGAATTGCGGGAGAAGTAACATAAACTGTTGTTATGTGCCATCAAAGTGTCTCTAACCCATGGTGACCCTATGAATGAGTGATCTCCAAAATGTCCTCTCCTCAACAGCCCTCCTCAGCTCTTGTGGCTTCCCTTTAGGGAGACGATCCATCTTGTATTTGGTCCTCCTCTTTTCCTGTGCCTTCAACCTTTCTCAGCATTACTGTCGTTTCCAGTATATCTTGACTTATCATGACATTCCTGTTGCCTTCAACCTTTCTCAGCATTACTGTCTTTTCCAGTATATCTTGACTTCTCATGACATGCCCAAAGTAGGACAGTCTCAGTTTCAACATTTTTGCATAGTTCAGGCTTGATTTGATCTAGGGCCCACTAGTTTTTATTTCTGGCAGTCCAGGGTACAGTGGTGCCTCGCTTAATGACGATAATCCGTTCCAGGAAAATCGCCGTTAAGCAAAAACATCGTAAAGCGAAAATAAAAACTCCACTGAAACGCATCGAAACCTGTTCAATGTGTTCCAATGGAGTAAAAACTCACCGTCCAGTGAAGATCCTCCATACACCAGCCATTTTCACTAGCTGTATAGCAAGGAATCCATCCCTAAACACAGCGGGGAGCCATTTTAATTACCCGGTGGCCATTTTGAAACCACCAATCAGCTGTTTAAAAAACATCATTTTGTGAAGAATTGGTTCCCGAAGCAGGGAACTGATCATCGCAAAGTGAAATTCCCCCATTTAGACCATCGTTACAAAAAATAGTCGTAAAGCGGACTCATCGTAATGCGGGGCAATTGTAAAGCGAGGCACCACTGTATCTGCAAAGCTCTCCTCTAGCACCACATTTCAAACAAAGCAATTATTTAATGTCCAGCTTTCACACCCGTACATAATGATCAGAAATACAAGAATGTGGATGTGTTCTTGGTCTTGGGACCTGCAGGATTGTGTTGTAACCTTGACAATTCTGCAGATCTAGGTTACAATGAATAACAGGACATTGTTTACCTTTCTTACAGTATCTCAAGAACACAATACTTTGATTTCAGAAAGTTCATCAGTACTCTTTTTCTTTAACTAGAGCCAGCTGTAATCAGGATGCAGAACTCAATGTTCAATGAAGTGGATGGATATCTGAGACAAAGGTTGAAATTCTGTTAGTGAGTTGCAATTAAAGTAGGGCAAAGAAATAGTAGCAATCTGGTGAGTCAATTCCTCTGCAAGTTTAATTGATTCAATGGGGCTACTTGAGTTGCAATTTACTACACTATGCAACAAGATTTCAGCCACTGTGTCCAATGGAGCTTATTTCCTAGTGTTTGGGGTTTAGTACTGTAGCTTGAGAATGCTTAAAAAAACACACACCCATTTTCATTATGGAAATAAGTCCACTGATTCAATCTTCAGTTCTGCTGATTGACAGCCTGTTTTTCATGCTACAGATTGCAACTGAAGGTGTGACTACAACAGGATTTCAACCAGTTTTCTAACTATATTAGTTTCAGAAAAACTTGGAAGATCTTCCTTACTCATTATCGTTAGTAACAAACACGTTTAATATTATATAAATCTAGAACACAACCATTGTAGTTCATGTTGTGCCTTAAAACAATTCAAGTCTCATAAAAGCCAACAGAAATTATATATGAAAAATTCAAAAAGATAAACGTATATTTTCATCTTTTTCCATTGTGACAGGAGAATCTTGGTTTTTTTCTCAATGACTTTTTTCTTTTATATGAAATAATTAATACGAAAGATAATTTCTTCCCCTACTGCATACAGTTGAATTAGCCCCCTAACATCAGTAACGCTTTCGTAATACATCTCCAACCAGTGACAAGAAGCATTTTCAAACAGGCAAAATAATAATAGAATATGCATATCTCACTATTACACTACAGTACAAATTGCATACCTCGAGTTATGTTTTTTCAGTTCATCAGATATGCACCCTACTTGTGAAAGCTTTGGAAATGCCCCAAAGTTAGGTTTATAGTTAATTACCTAATGATCAGACTTTGAATCATCACGTTAAATTCATAATCAGAAGGCAAAGGCACATGCTTTCTGCTTGGACATGAACACATAGATATTCCTTATTATAAAATAGGCTCTTAGCTGCATAGCAGCATTGTTCACTTTGGTGCACATCCTCTTGGTTCTATGTGGTGCAGGGTAATTTCAGGGATGACAAATGACATTTTCCACCCTAACCTTTGTTTGCAACTGGTTTAGTCAGAGAAATACATCCACCTGTATTCATGAGTAACATGATATAAAGGATATGACAAGATAATCAATTTCTAGGTAGGCAAAACATCTTGTGTGAAGTAAGTCCTAAGGGAACAGGAAATTTTGGAATGTTTACTGGTGTTTATGGCACACAGACTATGAGCCAGCAGCTCTACCAGCATGTTCCAAAAGATTTCAGGAAATCTAGCACAGGTAAGGTTAGAAATGAGCTAGCTTCAATCTGGACATACTCTTATATAATCATATACGCACCAACACAGGGTGTTTTTTTTAAAAACAGCAACTTGTAAATTTAAAAACGAATATTTCTGGACACAAAAATGAAGGCAGTTGGCAATATAACACAAACAACATTCCACACATCATTTCCCCCAAACAGTATATACCCTCCTCTTTTTATTGCATTTCCATGTTAATTTTTTTGTTGTTGAAAACGTGAGAAACATCTGGATTAAATGAGGAAAAAAAACAATAGATTAGCTTTGGTGTTCAGTTTGCAATACAGCTGTGATACAGTTGCTGCAGAGAAATAAAGAACAACAAATTCTGGTCTTGGGATAAATACCTATGCCTAAAATAATATCAGCAAATACATTCACTGGTCCACTTAGGCTATTTATTTATAAACACATATTCTGTTCAATCAAGTGCAGTCAGATATGTGTTCATGATGGAAAAATTGTCTAGATTAAATTGTCTGGTTATCTGCGCTTTCTCAAAAAACCAGGAGCATAATTAAAGATACATATTCTCCACACTGACCATAACAGATTTAGGTCGTAAGTACTAATTCATCCAAAGATCCATTAATAAGGCTTTATTTACATTTTCTTTATAAATTTAGGAAAAAAGTCTGATGCCATGTGCAAGACAGGACAGCAACGCCACTCACAGCAAGTGCAAAATCTCCTTATGCTTTAACACTTATCCACAGGCAGCCGAATAAAGTCCCGTATATCCATGTTCTCACGTAAAGTTTCCTTCCAGATTCTGTCAGTAGCATACTAACAGTCAGGCCACTTAAAAACAGTAAGGATGGCAGAGTTTTCTTGAGACTTAGCTTTGAATTAACACATTTTCCAGGGAATTTGTTTCTTCTTTTAGAATCTTTTGCATCATAGAATTCTATCAGCAGCCTAGGAGCAAAGAAAACGTTAAAAACAGGATGGGCACCCTCATTTATGACATACCAGTAGTTCCCAACCTTGGGTCCCCCAATGTTCTTGGACTACAACTGTTAGACATCTTGGCAGCATAGCTAGTGGTGAAGCCTTCTGGGAGTTTTAGTCTAAGAACTTCTGGGGATGCAAGGTCAGGATCAACGGTCATATATGTTTGGTGAGATTTTTCATATCTATTCATCACATACACTGGACAAAACTTGGTTGATTTCCAAAAACCAAGTATAAATGAAAAAGGGTCTTCACATCTCGATAAACATTACTGGAGCCTCATGGTGCAATGGTTAAACTGCAGTATTGCAGTCAAGTCTCTCTGCTCACAACCTAAATTCAATCCTGGTTGGCTCAGGTAGGTGGCTCGAGGTTGACTCAGCCTTCCTTCTTTCTGAGGTCGGTAAACTGAGTAAACTGGGGGAGGAATTAATGTATAGCTTGCATAATTAAACTGTAAACTGTCCCGAGAGTGGTTTTAGTACTATGGGGAGGAGTATAAGCGCTGTATTGTTTTTACAATGTGACTAGATTACAGTCATTCTTCTAACATGCATGAACCCAAAGGCTGCAAGTAAACTGGGGGAGGAAGTAATGTATAGCTTGCATAATTAAACTGTAAACTGTCCCAAGAGTGCCTTTAGTACTACGGGGAGGAGTATAAGTGGTGTATTGTTTTTACAATATCACTAGATTACAGTCATTCTTCTTACATGCATGAACCCAAAGGCTGCAAAATGGACTTGGGTGAAATGGACAACAGCTTGGTTTTGCCCAGGGAAACCATTCAGTGAATAAAGTCACCATGTGAATCCATCCCAAAATTCTTAAACAAACATATCAAACAGGTTAACTTCATTAATCAGCTCATTGATGAAAAAGTGTTTTAGAAAAGAAGGCTGAAACTTTCTTTAGCCCACTAAGGAAACTAAACTGAGAGACGGTTAACTGCATCATAGCCCGTGTTCCTTCTAAGCTGTTGTGCCCGTGCACAGAGCTTAATCGGGGCGATGTACTGTACAGGCATCTGGTCTGTTTACTTCCCATTCTGGATGAAGCCCCACCCCTGTGCGTGAATAAAAAAGTGTTTTAGAAAAGAAGGCTGAAACTTTCTTTAGCCCACTAAGGAAACTAAACTGAGAGACGGTTAACTGCATCATAGCCCGTGTTCCTTCTAAGCTGTGCCCATGCACAGAGCTTAATCGGGGTGAGGTAGGGGCATTTGGTCTGTTTACTTCCCATTTTGGATGAAGCCCCACCCCTGTGCGTGAATGGGGCGAGGCTGCCACGCAGCAGCAATGAAAATTAGAGGGAACGTTGATCATAGCTGCTAATAAGTTTGCTAATTAATAGATTTTTGAACCTGTGTGTTTGACATCCAAATTCAACATTCTATGCCTCCATCATTATGAAGCTCATAGCAAGCAGATGTTGTTTCCAATATAAGCAGAAGCTCTGAAACCCTAAAACATTTTATTCCTAATTTTCAGTCATCTGCTCATTAGATTTCCATTATGTCAAGTCTTGTGGAATAATCTCAACTAGAATATTAAACTTTTCAATTATAGACCCATTACTTACTTATCCTTGATTTCAAAGCGTTCATGAAGCCATCTTCTCATAAACACCTGTTCTTCTGGAATATCCTTTAATTCAATTCGATCAACAAAGATATGGATTCTTGGACACTCCTTACAAAGGAAGTCTAAAATCCAAAACAGCATAATGAACAGCCTTGTCCCTTTGTGCATGATTCCAAAACCCCGAGCTATGCATGAATGAAACAATCTTTAAAAGAAAGAGATGTTTGGAAACAGATCTAGGATTTGAACCCTGAATAATATGAAGAAGGCATTTTTCATCCGTGTTCAGAGACATTAAGTGTTACACAGCTTTCTTTAGCTCTTTCTTATTGTGAATGCTCAGAGAGCTGCTTTGTGTGATTTAGGATGTCCTGAGTAATCTGGCTTGGTTGGAAACTCAGGAAAAAAGCTGAAATTAAAGTATTTTTCTATATAAAATATTATTTCTCGGGTGCTATGTTGGACTCTCTGGCAAGAACATAAGAACAATGTTGAAGTTATGGAACACAGGCCTATTTAGTCTAACATTTTCTTCACATAATGGTCAATGGGTTTTCCTATGAGACATGTTGCCGTGACTTCACTGGATGAGCCCCTCTTTCAGAAAGGCTGAGGCAGAACGCAACATGGGTGAGGAACGGCCAGGTCCCATAGCCCCTGGATGCTAAGAAGTCCAGGAGGCCAAAGAGATGATGATGTCTCAGTGCCTGACCCTGGACCGGAGTCCCGAAAAGGCAGCTCTGGAGTTGAGGAGGGGAAGGCCGGATCTCTTCCGAGTTGACAAGAATCTGGGAGACCAAAGGCAGGAGGCCGGCTTGCTTCACTCTTTATCCTCTTTGCTTCACTCTAATGTTCTTAGTTGAGGGTTTATTGTCCAAGTGGAGGAAAAGGCAATTTTGCCCCCATATTGTTCATAGAACTGTCTCCCCCCTGGCCTCTTTCTCCTAATTGCAATTTTGTTTTCTGCAATTTGAAATATGCTTGCCTCTCAAAGGTCTGGATAGAGTATGCATTCCACCTTTAGGGCCAGGTTGTGTGTCAATCTTGCCAGAAACATCCCTGACATCCAAATGAGGTCCCTCTCATGTACATTCTCCATCCTACTACATCCTGCATCTTTTTATCCCATCGAGAACAGGTCTTTTATTTTTTCACCACTTAGCATTGCTATATTCTGCCCCTTCTTTTGCCTGTATCCACTTTCCTTTACACGGATATTCCACACACACTCCTTTTTGAATGTCTCTCTGTAGCTTTGCTGCTAAATGTCATGGTTAAGTCTCTGTTTCCCCTCCCCTTAATTTCAATCAGTCTTCGTTGCCCACTTTTGAATACATTTTGAACTTTTGCATGGAGAATCTTTTTAAACACTTCCTCAACTTTTCACCGGAGTAGTATTTATTTATATTTAGTTCTTCAAATCCCACTAGTGCCGGGATTATACTCTGGGCAGTTACAATAAATATAAAACAAAACAAAAAAAGCTAAAAGCATTAAAAGCAACATTACAAATAACTCTTAAAAACAGATGGCATAGACCAATCGTATAAAAACCAGAGCAGAGAGGAGAAAAGAAAAAGATGATCAGCTAGGGTGGGTGTAGTAGACCTATATTTCTTTTATATTTCAGAATGTTTACGTTAACTCAAATGGGAAGATTGCTAGGCCAAGTTATAGCTTAATACAAGGTTTCTTATATTACATTTGTCAACTAGTATGCATGCATTTACTTTTATATTTCATATATGACTTTCTCATTGCTTTCACGATAGTGACATATCTGTTTCTGTTTTCATGCATCAATCACTATCGTTACTGTTATTTTTAAGGCAATGGAATATTCATTTCTTTGACTGTTTTTATGATTTTACATGACTTTTCATCATTCTGTCTGCCATTTCAATAGATTCACATTTAGTTTTGGTGTTGATTCTGGCTTAACAGTCATTCCATTGCTGTATAACAGTCAGCACAATGAAATAAAGAACCCCTTTAGAAATACAGTACCAAATAAATATATTTTTCTTTGAAAACATTAAAGCACAAAATACAGTGCTTTATACAGACATTTTGGATAAATTACAGCAGGTGGATGTGGTACCTCCTCGGGATATATAAATGTCATTCAATTGTGCATATAAAATCTCTCTTATTATCTTTTTTTGGGGGTTTCCTTTCCTTTCTTCTTTTGGCAGCATGCCTCCTCTCTTCAAGTCAAACCACATTAAAAAAATTTTTCCACAAGAACTGGTTTACAATACAACACAGGCATTGGTAAAACATTTAAATCAAAGCCAGGACTTCAGGTAGACATGTGAATGTTATTGAACCCGGACGGTCCCAGCACTGAGTAGTATTTTGTCTGTGAAATAAACTGGGTGTTCCGAGCCAGAAGGCCTCAGAACCACTAAACTTTGAATTATAGGGCTTCATGAAATTGAATAATTTGGAAAAATAGAAAATTAATAAAAAGTGTGTTTCTCAGGAATCTACATTCCCCTAGTCCAGCAATGGCGAACCTATGGCATATGTGCCACAGCTGGCACGTGGAGCCCTTTCTGCCAGCATGCGAGCCATAAGTCACCAGATCGCTACTCCCCCCCGTGCAGACAAACCTGAAAAGGCAGCTGCAGCCGCAGTGCTGGCGCTTCGGCAGGCGGATCCGGAGTGGGGTCTTGAGGCACCTCCATGCCAGGATTCCCCCTTCCGCCGCCACTTCCGGTTTCGCCGCCGCGGCAGCACACCACCTGCTGTTTCGTTTTTTTTCCAGTTTGGGCACGCAAACCCAAAAAGGTTTGCCACCACTGCCCTAGTCAGATTTCAACCAGATATGCGATTTTGTTTTATTTATAGTTTGTTTTGGACATCTATTTATAATGCAATTCTATTTTCTACAACAATGTACATTTTAATCTAATCTATCCATATGTTTTTGTTTGTAAATATAATTTTTAAAAATACCAAACTATCATACAGGCTGGGTGCTAGCGGTCAACACCCTTGGGATTTTTTATGTTACTGTATATCTCACTCTTCAATGTGAATTACCTAGGATATTTTATAACTCTTTGTAGTCTACAAAGGTTGTAGTCATTACATGAAAGATAGGTGAGGACATAGTGGTCAACTAATGTAGCAGTGCAACGTCGCAACTCTTTTCTCTAAGTTACTATGAAAGTGTGGGAGAAATCACCGCTCTTTACTCCATTCTATGCCCCTCTCAGGCTTAACACCAAAAAATAAATAAAACCATCCAATTTTTCAGTGCAATTATGAAAATGGTCAACTGGATACAATCAAGAGTTTCAAGGAACTATTTTAATTATGCACTTCATCTTAGCGAGACCCATTCATTTTTTAAAGATACAGTGTCACTGTAACCACTTCTGCTTAGCAGTGGATAAGAACAATTTATGGCATTCCTGTTTTTGCAAAGAACAGCTGGATCCTATCACAAGAGCCACTAAAGGTTGCATAGTCCCATGACCCTTAATTTCACATCAGCTCAACTCCCCAAAGGCTTATGTAATTAAGTTTTAAAAAAATCAAAACTTCACTGCAGCAATTCATTAAGTCCAAATCACATTCAACTTTAAGAATATTGGCTCAAAATGCTTGAATCTGACAGGCTGCTTAATTCTAACCTGCCAGAAAACTATTCTTGGAACCAGGAGCTAAACAAAAGCCTTCTCTGCAAGAAGCAACCTAATTAAGAACCATACATTACCTAAAGTTTCGATTAGGAACAAGTTTCTTATTGTGACTCAGAAACCCTTCAGAATGTGTTAAGGGGACTCTGATGGGGGAAAAACTGGCTGATTTCAAAGAAACTATTTCTAGTTCAGCTTTCATAGTCATAAAATCTAAGAACTGAAACCAAACATCAGCAAGCATCTGTGTTTGCTTACAGAAGCACTATAATCTCAAGAATTCTTGCTTATTGTGTGGTATCTGAATGGTCCACCACAGTTATTCTTGGAGCTGCAGATGGGGGAAAAAATTAAATCACTCAGTGTGATCCCAAGTAAAATTTAGTTCTAAAAACATATGAAGGATGGAACTAGCAAAATTACTACAGTGTAAGAAAAGAAAATTGAAGGTTAGATGTATCTCAGAATAGGTATACTTAATGGCCAAAATCCTGTTGCTTAGCATAGTAAATCACAGTTAGAGAAGCACCATTTGAATCAAAGGAACTTGCAAAGGAGTTGACTCACTAAATGCACATTGATTCAATGGACCTCCTCCAGTGTGATTTATTAAACTAAGCAACAGGATTTTGTCCAGTGTTTAGTGCAGCAGCAGCAGCAGCAGCAGCAGCAGCAGCAGCAGCAGCAGCAGCAACAACAACAACAACAACAACACAACTTGCTTACATTTATTAGATTGGATCCATACTTTGACTTAGCCTCCTTCTATTCATACAGGGAACTGGGACCAATCAGAGATTGGTCAAAGATGGGTAAAAATGGGCACAGCAGTTTTGATCCATTGTCCCTTCTCTATCCTGAATTATCATTGGATGTGGGGCTGCAGAACAGCCTATTTAAATCACTGCTTTTCTTCTTCTAATACTAGGGGAGGACAAATCTGGACTGAACCCTTCTAAAAGGGGGCTAAAAGGGTAACTTTATCTCTTGTAATGCTAGAGTTAAAGGTAAGTGTTGTCATCATGTGCTGAAACTGTACATACAACTACAGTGTACATAAACAAAGACATTAATGTAAGAATAAGAACGACTATGCAATCCTATGTATGTTTACTCAGAACTACATGTCAGTGTGTTTAATGGGGGTGAGGAAGTGCATTTGGGGCAGCAGCCCAATGTATTATGGAAGTATCTGCCTTAACCAGGAGTGAATAAAATTTGTTTGCCATTGCTAGCCAGGCATGATAATGGTATCACCACTGCGATTTGGAAGAGGACATAACTCTAAAGAAACACAAAGCTGTGGCTCACGCGCCAAAATGCACCATGAGGCCAGTTTTATTTCCCTACAGCCTTCCCCCAGCCCCCAAATCAGATGGAAGGCAGGGGCTTGCCTGTATGGCTTTCTGAGGTGTCTGAAGTGACAGTAAGGGTCATCTCCTGCTCTGTTCCATAGTTTTATGCTTTTGCCTGCTGCATGTATGCATGTCTACGGGCATGTGTGCCTGTTCATGCATGCACATATGACTGTATTCCCCATCTGAATGGAACTGCAAGAGCATCCGAGAGGAACAGCTGGATTAAATGTTGAAGTCTAATGACAGTTAAAAGGAGTTTATTCTTAGATGCTGGAAAGATGAAGAGGGAAGCATGCAAAGTATGCAGACGGCAAAGTGCCATTTCCGGGTATAAGACAAAGAATTATTGTTTTAAAGTCATAGGTTAGGATTTGTACAGAAAAAAAACTATAAACACACTATAGCAACAGCTTATCATAGTCTGAACACCCAGGAATAATTGGAACACCTAGTATGATCTCCCTTTCCCCCTAATACCCAAAACTGTGCAATGCCTAATTTTCATGTGTGAACATCTGGGGTCCAACTGAGTGAGTCTGGACAGCCATCAGTCATCTCCAGAAGATTTCTGAAGCCTTACCTTTTCTGCACTAGCTCTCTCTTTGCAATTGATCTAGTGCCACTGGGTTAAAAATCACACAGGGATGTCGAAGTGGTGATCACTGTAGGTTGATTAGCCTTAGAGAACACTCTGGACAGAATCCTGCTGGTATCTTCGTAAGGTATTCCAAAACTGTCTTGACTGGTCACATGACTGACTGCACAAATATGTGCCCCAGCACCTCATCAATTAGCTGCAGGTTATGCAAATACCAAGAGGATTCTATCTCCTGTTTCTATTTAGCAAAATATTCACTTTCCCAGTACAGATTTTCCCATCCTTTTGGGATTACATTATTATTTAAGCAACCTCAGACAGAAATAAGACAGTAATTGACCAAGGCTGCAGTGGTATCAGCATTTCCAGCCCAACAAGAAATCTAGTAAAATCCTTGGGCAATTTTATGGTAATTACCACAAATTGCACACCACAAACCTTAAATAAGGAGAGGATGGAAAGCCATCTGGAATTATCAGCTGACTCTTCCGTACATGAGGATGAATGCAGATGGCTTATGCAAGTCATAACCTAACAGGCTGCTGAGCTCTGAAGTGATTAGTGGAATACCTACTGGACGAAATTGGTCTTTGGAATGAAACAAAGGGATGCTTCTAATCTGATGCAATTTAGGAACAAAGGAATGATTTTATATGGCTCGTTCTGCCAATGTGTCTAGGGCATGAGAGCCATCAGGGATCCAATAAACCTCCTGTTTTCCTCTTGGGCCGGGACTGTGAAAACAGAGGGATTATAACACACCTGGCAATTTGATTTGGCAGGAGACAAGCTGGCAGAGCAAATCTGCTCGGGGAGAAAAATCAGATTGTTCACATCCACCCTATGAACAGATTTCTGTAAGCTTTTAACTGGATAGGAAGGTTCTTTTTATTATTCAGCAGCACTTACCTGTCATGGATGGTGAGACTTTCCTTTGTCCTTTTTGATCCACAGTGCCTTCATATGCTACTGTAACATCATAAATGGCATCCAAATAGTCCTTCATTGAATCAACAGCAACATGAGTAGCCTTCACTCGTGGTGTAAGAACATGTTTCAACACTGCCAGTCCTGCGTGAGAGGAAAAATATGAAGTGTTGTATGGAATAAAAGACTATTCTCACAGAAATATCCAGAATATATTTTTAAACTTTAGCATTTATTTTGATTCTTTGTTATTCTGATTTTCAATCAGTGTCTTACAACCTTTCCATCTGAAGGGACTGTTTGCACAGGTATGTCACAAAATCCATCAGCAATGCAAAATATTCTGGTGCATACTCTACAGTACAGTCTAAGTTCTCATAGGGTGCAGCCAGACCTCCTAGGGTTCAGCATCACTGGAGGGCATCATGGCCAAAATCCTGTCGCTCACTGTAGTAAATCACACGAGAGTAGAATCACTGAATCAATGGGCAATCCAACTCCTCTATAACTTCCATTAATTCAAAAGGGCTTTACTCTGTGACTTATTATGCTAAAGTAAGTTCTAGCTAGAATCACTCCATCTGATTCAATGGAACTTACCGAGGACTCCTCAAACACCAACTGAGTCGATGGGCCTACTCTGTGCAATTTACTACGCTAAGCAACAGGATTCTGGCCATTGTTTTCATACACACCCAACAATTTCCTGGCAATTAAAGGAGGAAGATAGTTGTAACTTGAACTGAATTGAATTTATTATGGTCAAAAACTAGCACCAAACAAATTGTACAGTACACAACAAAACAGAACATGCAGCACACTCAGTTGTGGCAACCAAGTCATCTTTCAGGGAAACCAGTTTACCTTTGCTGATTGTTGGGAAAACTTGCTAAGCTTCCGAACATCCCAACAGTGCTCTGGGTCCTCCGATGTTCTTGGACTAAAACTCCCAGAAACCTTCACCACTAGCTGTGTTGGCTAGGTTTACCGGGAGTTGTAGTTTAAGGCAGTGGTGGGATTCAGCAGGCCAACAAACGGTTCTGCAGAATCAATAATAAATTAGCTACCGGTTCTGTAGAACTGGTGTGAACCTGCTGAATCCCACCACTGGCTAGGATCAGTGGTGGGATTCAGCAGGCCAACAAACGGTTCTGCAGAATCAATAATAAATTAGCTACCGGTTCTGTAGAACTGGTGCGAACCTGCTGAATCCCACCACTGGCTAGGATCAGTGGTGGGATTCAGCAGGCCAACAAACGGTTCTGCAGAACCAATAATACATTAGCTACCGGTTCTGTAGAACTGGTGCGAACCTGCTGAATCCCACCACTGGTTTAAGGACATTTGGGGACCTAAGGTGGGGAACCACTGCAATAGTGAAAAACACTGCATTAACATTAAGAGAGATGTGCTAGGGAAATTGAGCTGTGAATCTAAAGCAGTGACAGAGTCATCCCCCTTCTTCCAAAGGATGAAGGATTATCAAAGACTGTCAGCAAGCAACCAATGGCACACCCTTACAAAACTATGAATTTACTATTAATCTCTTGTAGGAACTAGGAAGGTATCACAATCTTCTGCGCTTTCACAACACTGTAATGGAGTTCCATTAATCTTTTAACACATCCTGGATTATGTAAACTTCCAGGCTAAGGGGAATACCCAGTAAACAGTATCCTGCAACTCAGGACTCTCCAGGTCAAGGCTGGCTGCTTATAACTACTTCCTTGCATCTTTCTAGGAAGCTGCTTTGCCACTTACTTGAACTGATGTTCATCACCTGATCCAACTGCCTACCTCTAAACAAATCTAATTGAAAGGGCTTACCTGTGGGTCTCCCTGACTCTACCTCTTACTCTACTGGAACTTACATGGCCTTCCAAGATTTTCTTCATAACAGATTTAACTTTTGGCTTCAGATTAAACTACACTACTATGCAGGGTATATAAACAACTCTAAATTCCTATATTGAACGTACAAAGTGATTCCAATAAATCCTTTTCAGAAAGGACCTTGAAACTGCTCTGATGACATTACAAGAAGCCAGTGTTCTTTCATTAAGGAGGAACTGTCTTTAATTTTGAAAATATCAGCTGAAATTCCAGTATCCTGCTGTTAAAAGAATTTCATCTCCCAAGAGTAATATATTTTTTAAAACAAAGGTTATTCGTTCTTGCCCTTATTTTGTACAAAGAAAAGAATCCAACAATATGGATTTGTGTTACTTAAAAAAAATTACAGCTAATCATTCAAATGATTTTACTAGCTTATATGGAACTACAATAACAAATGTAGAATAAAGAAGGAAAATGTTCTTCATTAACAGTAAAGCAGCTAGATGTTCCATTTTTACACAAACAGGAATTAACTACTCACGTTAATCAGTCTTCCTATGAACCATTTTTCAAAAATGTTTACTGCTTCTACAAAAGTGTTCTTTCATCACATATTATAGCTACGGAAAGTGCTGATATTAAGTCAACCGTACCCATTCGGACAGTGTTTACTTATTCGATACAAGACTGACTGCGCAAATATTTTGAAGCATAACACAGCCTTAGAGCATGGGATTTTCGTTTTCAAATCAAAGTGCAACTGTGTTGTGTTTTTAAGATGTTGTTCTAATCTGTGCGTCCTGAATGGTGTTATGACAGCAGTTGTTTTTACTGCTAAGCACTGGGTTCAACATACCTAATAGTGCTTCAGGCTTCTATAAAATACTGCACAAAATAACTCAAACCTACTCATTTGCTAAGAAGATGAATGATTTACTTGACCAAGAAAACATATATCTCACTTTTTAAAAGGGAGAGATTTCCAAGTCTGTATTTTTTTGAATCCTTTGTGTCTCTCCAGATGTATGGTTCAAGAAAGGGAGTACTGTTCTGACCAGGAGATCACCTTCTAACATCTCCAAACATTCAGCAAGACCATCCCCAGACACAAAGCAAAAAACAGTAATTTCACAGCTTAAACGTGAGCTTCTGAATGTTTGTATTATTTTAGAACTGTATTTTAAAACGTTTTACAACCAGGCACAGAATACCTTTGCCAGCATGGATGCCTTTTTGGGTTCTGTCTGAAAGGGTCCAAAATTCATATTGCCCCAGATCTGGTGCTGATCTCCCCTTTGATGTCAAGAGCCCAGTCTCACAAATCCTAAGAGAATCTTTACTGAAAGCACTCTAGGCTGGGACAAACACTAACGCTCGATGCTTTTGTAATGCAGAAATACTTTGAAATATGCCCTGCAAAATGGTATGCTAATTTCCCAGAGATACATGGCAAAATGTCCCTTTCTAGAGAACTGTCATTCCATTGCTTTATTTAAAGCAACTCTGTTCTTTTTAATTCTTCGAAGAAAACCTGTCCTTTGTTTCTGTGACCTTCCCAAACATCTCTCTTTCCGAGCCATGAAGATGCAAGAATGTATCTATTTTGCAATGCTCTTGCTGGTAATCCTGCTGCATGCATGAACAGTCTCAAAACAAAGTGAATGTTTTTGAAAGGTATTTTTTAGGATCAATATTTCATCCCATGCAATCTGGATTTCTTCCACATTAAAAAAAAGCAGGTGGAGCCAACCATTCTTTTTCAAGATAAACAAGATTGGTATTTTAAATTTATTTGATCTGTTTTAAATCTGGCGACCTTTAAAGTTGCTTGTTTCTGCACATGGGAGAACACTTCTATTTGAAAAAAATTAATCACTCAAACCTGTTTTGCCACAAACTACTCCAAATTTGGCATAGTGCAAAAGCAGACTGTCTCCTATATCTGTATCAAATCTGGTGTTGATCCGGTTTCAAAGCTATAATTTTTTGTTTGACCATTTTTAGAATTGCCTTGTACGATGTTTATTAGCTCTGCTGCACAATAACATCACTCCACTCTCATGCAGTGATAAAGTTAGATTTGCAAACCATGCAGATACATTGGCTCTGTTATTTAAGACTAGGATTCCAAAAGGCTCACTTCAAAGTTCTAAAAAGTATCTTAAATTATAAATGCTACAGATCCGGCTTCACATGTAATTGAAATATTTGGTGTCACATTCCTTCATGTTTATTCTATAGAAGAATGTGAAACAGCCAGTTTCAAAAAAGAACAAAAGAACACGCTGAAAGTTTGCATTTATGTAGCCAGTCGTACTCCACCATAATGAGTTTAATAACTACTGACTAAGACTTCATAGTTGTCTTAAAAAAGGTGAGAGAAACAAAAAGGTGTGATTATAAGAAAGCAGAATTTGAACCAAACTGAGTAGCAGGCAGGTAAAAGTCATTTTCTTTTTGAACTGTAAAAATACTCTACAGACTACTTTCATTGAAACCAATCTACAGCTTCATGATGCTTAGTAAGACTGCTTCTCAACAACATGTTTAATAATGCCACTCGTTTTGAAATTTTTCTTCTTGAGCCAGTCATTAAGACAATTTGATGGTCATTTCTTTCATTCATATTTTACTCTTCATATTCAAGTTAATTGATGGATTAACTTGAATATGTTAATCTGCTGGATATTTGACAAATGTGTATCATTTTTACAATGGTATTATTCCTAACTTTTTTCTCTGTTACTTATTACTAAACTATGTTATTGCACCGTGTTTCCTCACAAAGAGAAAAGAAGATGGCTTATATAAGAACAGATGATACAGTAGGCAAAACAAATACAACACAGAATTAAGTGAAAATCAAACAACATCAAATGAAATGCATAAATCAAGAATGCAAACAGTAAAACAAGAAGACCGAGACACCAATCACTTAAGAGTCTTCTGGAATAGCCATATCTTTGTCAGACAATTAAAAGAACAAAGTTTTAGCACCCAATAAACATTTTGTGGGTGGGTGTTCTATGCCACTAATAACTACCTGCCATATCTCACGCAGCAGCTAAATGTAGTACAAGAGTTAAGTTGTCGAATGGCGCATGAAGGAAGAAAGCTGTGGAGGGGATAACGGTTCTTAAACTACTCGAATATCAGTTCGTGGCTCTAAAGTGCAAAACGATTACCTTCAGCTAAGCCTTGGAATTAAATAGCAGTCAATGCAGCTTAAGCAAAAAAAGACTGGCAGCAACGTTTTGCACAAATTATAGTCCAGAATCCTGTTAATTATACCCAAAGGTGTAACCCATCACTGAATATTTCAGTGGGAAATTGCCACCAGTCAAGAAGAAGCTGCTCTTTCTCGCACAGCCATTGTGTGACTTGGCATGCCACCAGAAAAAAAGGTTTATGGGTGGCAATTTACCACTGAAATTTACACTGACGTAAATATGTAATAGAAGCTGTTGCTTTCAAATGCTTTTCTGCATTAAGACTGAGGGAAAGGTTTATATGAGCAACTAGGTTCTGTACAATACGTATGATTTTATGTGGCTGATTATTTTATCACATGATTTCCAAGACAGGCAAGTAGGCTGACTACCCCCAGGAAAGATTAGGTGGTAATTGACAAAAAGCTTCTCCAAGCTATGCAAAAACTGGATGGGGAAGCATATAAGCCCTTTGGTTTATAGCACCTCTTTCCAATTTGTGGACATCTCATTGAATCACAGGTATACAGTCAATAATGAACACCATTTGAAATAACACTGAAGTGAGTGTATCTCATCTTTACTGCCAGGTTCTGAACTTGCTCCATATCAAACAAGTCTATAGCTTTTTTAAGCTAAAGCCACATTCTTTCCTTTCAAACCACACTGTGTGACTGAATTTCTTCAGGATAAATGCACTCTTTTTAATGTCACAAACCAGTCTGTAGCCATAAATCAAGTCTGTCAAACTCGACCCTCTTCTTTATCTTATTTTCCCTTACTTCCCCCAAAAGAAATTTTTGGATAACATTTGTCTTACCTTCCTTCTCAGCATATGATTGACTATCTGCAATGACTTTTGGTAGCTCTGGATTGTAACGTGTTCCCTCTGGAAAAATCACAAGATACATCTGTGGGATTAAAAAAATACATATATGCACATTTTTTAAAATGTAAGTGCTACAACATGCTTCAACAAATGTTATAATTGCCTACTGATTACCATAAAAACCACATTGCATGTGTGTGTTAAGTATGGAGGAAAGCAAAATTACTAAGAGGTGTCATTACTCCACAGTGAAGAGGAGCAATGGTGGCATTCACAGAATCCCACTTTTTTCTCCAGGGAAAAGTAACTAGGAAAGAAGCTTCATTAAAGTGAGAACAATTAAAGAAGTTAAGGTATAAAAAAAGTAAACAAGTGTTGTGAAGTATCATTTTTTAAAAAACATCCTGTTGAGATTGTCGTGGGCTTTTTGGACTCTTTGGCCATGTCCTGAAGGTTGTTCTTCCTAACGTTTCGCCAGTCTCTGTGGCCGGCATCTTGAGAGGACAAGAGTAGCACTCTGTGCTCTGGTGTAGTTGGTTTTGGGAGTGCTGTCCTCTGAAGATGTCGGCCACAGAGATTGGCGAAACGTTAGGAAGAATAACCTTCAGGACATGGCCAAAGAGCCCGAAAAACCCACAACAACCATTAGATCCCGGCCGTGAAAGCCTTCACGAATACATCCTGTTGAGAACTTCCAAGACAGTTTCAACTTGAGTTTACTCCAATTTACACTGTAACTTATATATGTCCATGTAAAAGCATGTCCCAATGAACTCTGTGGGACTGACGTTTATACAGACATGCTTACCTCTAGATAGGTGTGTACAGGATGCTAACCACTGAAAGGTAAATCATTAAAAAAAACCTGTTTCAGATGACTTAGCTGAAACCATTAACAAATCCTACAATGGAGTGTTATTTGTGGTACACCTATTTGCAAGGAAAGAGAAGGTGCAGTCCTATATACATCTTTCAGCTGAACAGGAATGGAAGAGAGCCAAAAAACAGGCCATGAAGTACAACTCTATGCATCTCTACGGTGTAAAGAAAGCAAAGCAATTTAGCATTGGTGGGAAAGCATGGAGCGGCAAAGTTTCAAATAAATAGGTTGTAAGACTGAGCCTCCACAGAATATACAAGAGATTACTACAATCAATAGCCTCCTTTTTTCTCACAGCTCAGCCTGATAACACATGAGATTAGTTTGTGCCTGTATCGGTTCTCTCACAAAGGTTATTTGTGAAAGAGTACAGAGTTCATTAGCAGTTGCTCCCATAAAGGAACATTCAGGGTTTTTTAAACCATCAGTTCCTCATAAACCATGAATTATTTAGACAGTATCTCAAAACTAGAAACAAAGAGCAACACATAAGACCCCTTCATTATTGTTATTGCTAGCAAAAAAAATACAATTGACACTTCTTTAACCATGCAACAAGCATTATCTTCATGAAACTCTAAGGTATCTTTGTGTGACAAGGAACACTGTTGTTTAGTGCTGTGACTTGAATCAGCCTGGTGTTCCCACGTTTAAACAAACCAACAAACCTAGCATTGCTCACTATCAAAACGGGTTTAGGAAAAATGTTTTTGTTGCACAGTTACCAATCTTAAAGTGAAATATACAATAAAACTGAATTGTTTGTGAATTGTTGCCAGAATCCAAAAGGCTATCAAGTATACCAAGCTCTCCAGCAAGTATATATGTGAGCGATGTTATGAAGGTGCTTCAGGCTCATGATTTCTATGAGAAGGGTTTGTATGAAGACCCAGCACAGGAAGCCCCAGTGTACTAATCAGATACTAATCAGGCCAAATGGTAAATATTAACTAACTTCAGTGATGTTAATTAATATTTTATTTATGTCAAAAGCCATATAAAGACAAAAGCTTAAAAATAAATGGACTTCTTACCAACAGAAGGCTACCATATAGCGTCAATTTAAGTGCAAAGGGACAAAGATAATCACCAACAACAGAGTAATACAGGAATTCAATTTTTATTGGAGGCACCTAAACTAAATTTTATTATTGTAGTTGTAGAAGGGGAGCTGTGTTAGTCTGTGCAAACATTATAGGTAACAACAAAGCAAAAATAAAAAGGACAAAACTGTGGTGGCACCTTAAAGACTAACTTTTATATTTTTTAATGTGAGCTTTTGTGGACAAGTCCACTTTGTCACACATAAGAGCAAAACCAAAATTCCATTATGTTTCCATCAGCAGTTGGAACTATAATTTACAGCTAATATGCTAGTCACCTAAAAGGAAGCTCCTCATTTTAAACAGAAGATCAATACACAGAGGCCAAAATCCTCTTGCTTAGCACAGTAAATTGCACTAGAGTAGGTGTCACTGAAACTACCAACATGAATTTGACCAAACTCCAGGAAGAAGTGGAAGACAGGAGGGCCTGGCGTGCTCAGGTCCATGGGGTCACGAAGAGTCGGACACGACTTAACGACTAAAAAACAACAAGGTCCATCAAATCAATGAGGATTTGGTGAATGAACTCCTATGCAAGTTCCACTGATTCAAATTGACTTATTCTAGCTGCAACTTGCAACTCTTCCATATGTTCCACTGGTTCAAATGGACCTTCTGTAACTATGCTAATATAAGATGCAGTGTTTCTCCAACCACCAGATATCTCTTTAGAGCTCCTTTTAAACTATGGAAGGAGAATGCAAACCGAGCATCCATTTTCAATAATTCATCTATTCAGCAGAAAGAATGGAGGAAAACAAAGCATAGGAATACACCAACAGATTGATAAAAATATCTGAAGCATCTTCATACTAGTTCCCCCTATTCTTGGGATAGCTGCCATGTACATAAGAATGCTCATACATGTGTACACAAGCATATAGGAAATGCATATGTCCTTACCGGTGTCTTAGCTTTCGTCTGGGCTTGCAACTTGTTCCTCATTGCTTTCTCATTAAATTTGGCACTTCGTTTCACATAGACTCCTCCATGCTGGCACATAAAGAAAGGAAATCTTTATAACACTTAATGAGTCATGAAACAACATGTACTACATTTCAAAAGTCTAGAAGCAAGGAATTAAACACACCTAAGGATTTTGAAAAGAAAATCAAGACCTCTTGGAAGAACCTACAATATACTTATAGGTTTCAACCACAGAGATCTTGTATGGGTAGAAAAGCACTTTAGTTGATGGAAGGAAGTAAAATTTCTCTGTTCTGCTGCGGCATCCCTATTTCCCATGATTCCACAGGGACCACTGACCCTTTGGGAAGGTGGATGGGGCTACAGTAGAAGCCAGGCATGAGAAAAGCTTCCATGCACAAGTGAAGTTGTTCTCTGGATTCAACCCTATGCATTTCAGCATGAACAACAACCCTACTACAACTCAAACTGAAATGGAGCAACAAAAATCTAGCATGAATCTTACACTCAGTTTCCCACACACTCAGTACCAAAGCAACAAGGAAGGAGAAAGGAGTTGGGAGCTGACAGGAACTGGAAGGTGTGAAAAGAGGCTGCATGTAGAACCTACTGTATGCTTTGTGAACAGAAGGTCCCAGCCTTAATCCCTTGAAGCTTCAGGAAAAAAAGGCAGCAGATTGTAGAAAAAAATCTGTTGGAGAACCTGGACAGCTAGTGACAGTCAAAGCAGATAGTACTAGATGAGATGGATGCAAGGTCTGACCTGGTATAAGGCAGAATCGTGTACTATATAATGTTCTTAGAAGTGCTGAGTTGGAAGAGACCCTATGGATCATTGAGTCCAGCCCCTGTCAAGGAGGCACAGTGGGGGGAATTGAACTCCCAACCTCTGGCTCTGCGGCCAGAGACCTAAACCACTGAGCTACCCAACAGTTAGACCTGTGTTGCAAAAAGTTACATTCTTTAATCAAAGGACAGATGAGTCTATATGAGAATTAGTGAAACAGTGAATGAAAGGCTTTCTAAGCATGGGGATTTCATTCATTAATATCTGGCTTTCTACATGTGCTTCCCCCACCCTCCTGCACCCAATCTCCTCTGCTTCAAAGTGTTGGTGGTAGCAGCAGAGGAGGGAAAGGAGAAGTCCCATTGCTCAAGTTTAAAAAAAAAACGAAAAAAGAAAAAGTTCACTGGCATCAGATGGTACCCACTAAAGATAAAACAATAAAGGCTAAAAAGCTTTAAAAATTGTAACAACAATTTCAGTGCTAGCTATTTGGAACCAATGTTATCACAACACCAGCTGTGATCAACTAACTCTTGAACCATTTGAAAACCTTCTGGGCCTTTCATCAATACCAAATGCTTTCCTTTAAAGCTTGTTCTTACCAGCGCATCCATCCACAGAAAGTCTGCAAAAGATGCCCTATTGTATTAAGTTAATAAAAATGTTACAAGCATGGCGCAAAGCACTTGGCTTCATAGGCTTCACTCAGCTGCTGCCCCATCGCCACCCCTTGGCCCAGGGCCTTCCATATGTTCACACTGTCAGTTTCTGTCACTTTGTTGATTAAAGGCCAAATGTGTCAACATGACTTACATGCCCGCTTTCTACCAGGAAGCTTGTTCCAGTATGCAAGCATAGTCAAAGTGTCATGGCTGGTCCCCATAAAACTCTACAATTAATGAAAGAAAAAGCCCACAGAATTTTCAACATCTCCCTAAAGGTGAAGATGTCAATTTCTGCTATTTTACTTGGCTTCTGTAATTCTACCTGCTGAAAAGTTAGATCATTTCAGCTCGCAAAATGAAAAAGCTTAAACAGAGTTGTTGTTATTTTTATTATATTGCACTTCATTCCAGTATAAAAATCTGTAGTCTCCATTTGCTCATTATATTTGGAAGATTTAAGAGACTGAAATAGCAATATAGGCATCAACCAACAGGATTTTCACAAAAAACATGTGTTCAGCATGAAAGCACAACAACAATGAATGCTTGTATTAAGAGCAGAGGAAAGTGATTTAGTAGGATTTAGAGTGTGAGCAATCATGAAGACACCCAAGTCAAGTGCAAAAGATAGCTATATTATGCCTTTTCTCAAAATCTTTTCCTCCAACCTACGAAAGAAATTGGACCCCCCAAACTTGAAGTCATTTTTAAGTTTAGAATTTCTATAAAGTCTGTCCAAATGTTTCCCATTTTAAATCCTAGAGACTGAGACAATGAGAAAGTGACTACCTAAAGTCACTGAGTGATTTCCTAGTTCATGCTCTTGTGGTTGAAATCCTGTTGCACACTCTGCCTGCAAAATGAGAATGATATCACTAGCAGCAATTAACTACCATTGATTAAAATTTTCCTTTTGTGATTTCAGGATTTGCATAGCTCATACAATGTGGTGAAGTCATTTGTACCTGAAATGGCAAAAGCATTTAATCAGTGCCAATTTGCCACTGTTGCAGATGTCATTCTCACTGCACAGCTGGACCCCATCCAACAGGATTCCAGCTTGTGATTCCATGAAACCTAACCCTAGCAGTTAAAACAAAAGCTAGCACACTTTTAGCTCTCCAGCTGTTCTGGACTAAAAAATGTCAGGGTAGAATTCTGTTTATTCTGTTCACACCTACATACTTCTATGACCATTTTTGGGCTTGCACAATGAAGTATTTGCTACCTTGCTACAAACGCATAGAACCTCTTCATTTCAACAAGATGATCTCAACCTTGCACAGTGGCAAGCTAGAAATTGCACAAGGGGCCTGCCGGCTGAGCGCTATGCTCCACTGAGAATCAACAAGATACAACTCTCAGGAAACCTTGTCAGCAGGGCGAATTTCAAAGCACTGTACAAGGTATACTCTAAAACATCTAGAGGAAATCGGCTCCCCATCTGAGCTTTAAACTCTGTGTAAGACTCAGATTAAACAAAGAATACTGGGCACAGTTGAACACAGAACAATTGCACCGCCCCTTCTCACAGATCCTTATGACTTGTATGTAGATTCTCTTTACCTCTCCTGATGGTTGGAAGAGACATCAGAAAAATTCTTACACGTTCATAATGCTAACCATTGACTTCCTTAGGAATCTGGAGTCCTAGGGGAAGTTACAACTGCAGAGTCTTAGATTTCTAACTTATTTCTTCACTAACTCCAGTGCACTGGATGGAGAACACACATAGGATCACACTATGCATCTTCTGACATTGAATCTTCTAGACAAATCTCTTCTAATGTTTGAATGTTTTGCTTCTAGAATGTTACTTTCACTAGGAAACATCCTTTCCCGTGCAAATCTTCCTATGCAAATCATGTGCTCACGTGAATGCAGTCTATCAGCTTGTCAAGACAACACAGGGTAGTCTTTCCCCCCCTCCTCCCACCTCTTTAAAGCTTTGTTTTGTTGAAAGAATACAGTACAACTATAGATCTTGTATTGACAAATAAACAAATGTATACAGAAAGACCAGTAACAGAACAATCTATTATTTTCCCAGAATGACATGAGGTAAGTTTGAGGTTTGCAGAGTTTTAAAAAACTGAGGAAAACTCCCAAGAGGAAATCCCTTTTAAAACAACAGACTGACTTAGAAAGCAAAAACACTCTGACACGTGGAATTGGGGATAATTGAATGCAGTAGTTGGGAAACTGAAGAAAGTAAGAGAAGGGAAAGGAGTAGCATGTCTAAAATAGAAATGAAAATGGTATGCAGAACATTTTCATTACCTGCATATTTCAAAATGTCCTCAGGGACAGAAGTGTGAGCTATCCATAGAAATCCATGGAGAAGCAGAGTTTCATTTTCTGGAAGAGCCCCTCCCCCCACAACAAATCCTCAAACTTTGTAGGGAGAAATCCCTCAGACTGCCCTACAGCCTACTGAGCATGATCAGCACTATGGCACATTACATGGATGAAAATCTGAAAAGAGAAAAGGAAGGAAGGAAGGAAGGAAGGAAGGAAGGAAGGAAGGAAGGAAGGAAGGAAGGACTGGGACCATAAGCAGAAGCACTTCAATGTGAATACTTTATGGCAGTGTTAAGTTTCTTCTAACACTGAGCAAATTCTTGGTGTCTTTACATAGCCTCAGCCATGCCGCTCACATTTAAGAAAGAGGTATCCGCAGTCTGAATGCAATGGTAGGTTGGATGGAAGCTAATATAGTAGTAGTAGTTCAGTCGTTTAGTCGTGTCCGACTCTTCGTGACCCCATGGACCAGAGCACGACAGGCCCTCCTATCTTCCACCGCCTCCCGGAGTTGTGTCAAATTCATGTTGGTTGCTTCGATGACACTGTCCAACCATCTCATCCTCGGTCGTCCCCTTCTCCTCTTGCCTTCACACTTTCCCAACATCAAAGTCTTTTCCAAGGAGTCTTCTCTTCTCATGAGATGGCCAAAGTACTGGAGCCTCAGCTTCAGGATCTGTCATATGGAAAGAGAATCCCCAAAGACAAAGCCTTCGCAAGTGTTTTCCTAGGGATTTCGTACCTGTCCTGGATGGAGCTGCACTTCCTCTGAAGTAACTGGTATGTACTGCTCTGAAACTCACACAGTAACTGCTCATGAAATATCTTGCAGCTTATGCAAGGTACTGTATTTTTCCGTGTATAAGGCTATAAAGGTAAAGGTAAAGGTTCCTCTTGACATTTTAGTCAGTCGTGTTCAACTCTAGGGGGCGGTGCTCATCCCCGTTTCCAAGCCGTAGAGCCAGCGTTTTTCCGAAGACAGTTTCCGTTGTCACGTGGCCAGCGCGACTTAGATTCGGAACGCTGTTTACCTTCCAACCGAGATGGTACCTATTTATCTACTTGCATTTACATGCTTTTGAACTGCTAGGTTGGTGAGGAGCTGGGACAAAGCAACAGGAGCTCACTCCATCACGTGGATTCGATCTTACGACTGCTGGGCTTCTGACCCTGCAGCACATAAAGGCTTCTGCAGTTTAGCCCGCAGCGCCACCACGTCCCCCGTATAAGACTATACTTTTGTCTAAAATTTTTAGACTAAAAATTGAGGATTGTCTTAGACACGGAAGTAAGCTGAGGAGAGTACAAAAACA